CGCAGGCACTGCCGAGCTCGGTCCCTGCCAGGGGTCACCGACCCTCCTGCTCTTGCCCGTACCTCGGGATTTGCGCAGGCGTAGTTTTCCGCTGCCCTTTGATCTCTCCCAGGGATGTTTGAAAAGGTGCCTCTGTCACAGGCCTGTGTTATCGAAACGCAGATCTTCTCCTTGTCCACGCACAAGGCTAACAACAATTAATGCGATAGCTGTGGGTTTGTACACCTCCGCTGCAGGTCACTTGAGCGTCCTTATACCCCTCCTTGCCCATCTTCTGTTATTTTCCCACAGATCTCATTTTATTTTTTTCACTTTACCCGTTTCTCTTAGCACTGCCCTGGTTTTGCTGGACTCCAGGAAGCAGCATTACAACATCCCTGCCAAAAGGCAGCCCCAAGGCCCACGTTTGTACATGACCCAGCTGCAATTCTTGCGACTAAACTCTTGGAAAGCTGTTTTTCTGTTACTGGGGACGGTGACGGGCAGAGGGGATGCCTGTGGTAAAGCTACCGCAGCGCCAGCTCCCTGTGCCTCAGCCGAGGGGCAGCACCAGACATGGGGAGCCCTGCCGTGGAAGGCACACGCAGGGTAACGGGGCTCCCTCCCACCAAGGGCTCCTGTCACGCCTCAAGACAAGGCGCCGTGAGCCCATCAGCTCTGCCCAGCGCTCCGGCTTGGGTGCAGAGCGGGAGCTAGGAGCCCTGCCTGCGGGTGGGTGAGGAATCCACCCCTGACTGCCCTGCTGCCTCATACTGCTCTGGGCACTCGAGGACATTGCAAAGTTGGAGGAGTTTGGCATCACATGCTCATCTTACACCCGTTTTTCAAGAACTGCTACTCGAGTCAGGTGCTTATTGTAAACTTTGGGGATGACAGTGACGCCCTTTCTTCTGGCCTTTGGACAGCTTCCTTCATGGAGATCCCAGCACTTGCACCCTCCAGAGCACCTCCTTTTTGTGTCCCCAGTTTCAGTTCTTACTCCTCAAGTACCAAATAACGAACAAAACCTCTGTGAGTCACAGGACAGGAATGTATTACATGTAATCCTAACAGAAAACCAATTAGAAAATCAGTTTCGCTTCCTCACACAGCTTAATTGCCCTGTAACCACAAACCTTCCTGAGGCCGCAACACTTGGAATGCGGCAGCCCACTATTAACATACTGTTTACATGTAAAGTGCTGGCAGATTTATGGTACTCAGTGGTGTTAAAGCAAAGGTTGTTAAACCGTTCTCCCTCTGACTCTCTGGAAAGCTGGAGTAACCAGGAAACTCCGGTCAAGAACCAGGGGCCCACAGCTCACCTGTGCTGCAGTCACACCTTCCACTGTGCTCACGGCGCTTGTCACTGCAGGATTTTCTCCTTTTTTTTTTTTTTTCCAATATCCCTGGTTACTTCGTGTTGTGCGTTACTCACGTTCTCCTCCCAGACCCACACCTGGCAAACACAACAGTACAGAAACCTCAGGAGGAAACTTCAGACAGATCATGTGAAAGATGGTGAATTTAAACCGGAAAAAAAATCACAAAGGAATCTAAGGGAGCATAAAAATTACTGAGGCCTTTGACGCTACAGAAAGTGCAGAAAGCAAGCATTTTAAATGAATTACCACAGGAAATTCAGCAACACAGCTTAAAATACTTTTTAGCTGTTTATTATAAAATACATATTTACACATGAAGGCACTTTGAAACCGTTACAAAATTTTCATGTAAAGCTATTGTCTTAGCTGTTCAACAAGTCCAAAAACATCTTTTCTATCATCACCTCAAAAAAGTGAAAAAATCCAAGCTGCATCCAGTTGCTGTACGTACATTCACCGTTCTAACGCAAAACTGCTACACCTAGTGACAACTACTCAGGGTTTTAGCACCATCAGTTCTCTAGTTTCAGGGAACACGCTATCGGCTGGCGAGGAGGGATCTGCACGCGATGTTCAATCCGAACCCGACCAGCCGAGCTCTCGGCACACGACACTGCTGACAGACTCGCGCACGTTCCCACCCGGGGGGGCTCCTGTCCCCGCGCGAGTCAGGCAGGCTCTGCCGAAAGCTAAATCCAGCTGCCCCACCTCACTCCCAACTCAGGAGGCTTTCGGGGGCTGGAGTTACCGCCATTGAGGAGTTAAAACAGCCCTGATGAGCAGATCAGGACAGAAAGGCTGTTTCTCGTGTATTTTTTATCTCAAAATCTTAAAACCCGAATAAAATTAAAGGAACTGAACAGAAGAGTCTGCAAGACACCTGGCCCACTGCGTGGCCATTTCCTCATGCTGCAGCTCTCTACAGTCAAACCTGTCAGAAATAAGCACCTTTTTCTGGAAAGCAAAACAACTAAATATTTAAGTAGTTAGAATAATTAAAAAAACCAAATTACGGAGTTTGTGAACTTTCCTCTCACTGCAGAGTAGGGTCCCTGCACACGTACATATTTAAATTCACGCTTCCTCCCATCATTGCTGAGACTGCCTGAACTCACCGCAGCGTTCCTCCCAGGAGCTGTGGTGCAGCAGATCTCAGCGTGTATTAAACCAAACAACAAAGCAAACTGAGTTCCTTGAACAAGTCCTATGCAATAGTTCATTTTTTTTTTTTTCAGTTCAACACATGAACTGAAGGAGTCGAGAAGCTGAGAAGTTTCTCTATGGCACTAATCTTAAATGTGACTGCGAAGTAAGATCAAGCTACTGATACACAGTAAAGAGTAAACCTTGACTTTGCTCCATTTTGGCAAAATAAACCCTACCAAATTCCTCAGCGTTAAAAATTTAATTACAGGAATGGGATGCTGGAATCTACAAATTTCCAATAAATCCAAACCTTTGATAGCTATAAAAAAGACCCCACATATACAAACATGCCTTGTCTGATGGGCTTACATTCAGTGTAGATACTACACAAGAGGCTAAGACTTCAGGAAAAAAATGAAACACAGAGATACGATTTGTTAAAATGAATTTGAACAGCTGCCAGGCAGCCAAAGCCCCCCCGACTGCTCTTCAACCGTCACCAGCGCGTGCCCCTGTGCGGGGTCGTCATCAGGCTCCCTGGCGGCAAGGGGCAGCTCCCGCGGCAGCGCTCCCTGACTCAGAGCGAGGAAATCCAGACTCGCT